ATGTGGGTTTCAGCAAAGCAGTGTTCCAAAGGAGCAAAGGAGCAGAAGAAGAGACTCTTACCCAACTCAGAGATTAGCTGCTTCAAGGGAAAAGTGCAGGCTAACATGAGGTCAAAATCTAGGTTGATGACTTGCAACTGAGAAATAAGCTAATGGGGCAATCTCTTTTCAACGTGGAAGTTGTTGTGCTTGTTGAGGACATGTTAACTTGTTGAATGTTGTGGGATCTTGGTCTTTTGTTCAATATTGTTAAATTTGCTTGGTTTTGTTTTTGTTGTGTTTTATATTTGCTTTTGAGTTGTTGACCTTCACTGACCGCGTGTCGCAACGCGGCAAAATTATAATTTATATTTTCCTTAATTCCTTAATTGACCTCTAACTAGTAGTAGTGACGAGTAAGGGTCGAACCCACAGGGAGTGTGAATCAAATTGTGAATTTTCTCGTATTAATTGAAACTAAGAAAGTGATAAATGGGGGAGGGGGGATTGGATTAAAACTAAGATCCTAATTAAATAGATAAAATCTAAACGAATAAAATAAAAATAAAAATAAATAATTAAGAGTAATTTCTAGTTCACGATTCCGTCTACACCCTCAACTGACTCGTCTGATCAATTTTGGTATCAAATCTCGCTATCTTATGAAATTATTAGGCCTAGGCAACGACACGGTTTGTTACTCGAATTTTTCTTTATTTATAATTTAATCGCGAGACGCTCTACGATTATACCTGACTTCTTGTACAGTTCAGAAAGACGCTTTCAAGATTTAATACAATTAGCCGCTTTACAAATTAGAAAAATAGGCTAGACTAAGTAGTGACGCGTTCGTTCACTTAAATAGGCCGTGTTATCCCCGGTAGTAACCGTCTTCCGGTAGCCTCTTATGAAATAAACACGACAACAATTACGGATTGAAGGTCTAATTCAGCTGTAGATTTAAAAAGTCTAATCTAAGTGATCAATCTCAATAAGGCTCAACACATCATGGTTAATTATTCAAAACAACACAAACGATTCTAAAAAGATATTGAAATTATCAACCATATAAATCAATCAAAACATCATCAATCTTAGGGTTCGACTTCCCCAGAACTAGAAATAAAAACTAGCCTAACATAATAATTAAAGAAGAAAAGAGAAGAATAAAGTTATCCTTGCTCGTGTGCGGGTGCGGTCTCCCTTCGCGATTGATCGGGCTTCTCGTATTTCTTCTGTCTGCGTGCGGCTCTCCTTTCTGTTGCATTTCTTTCTCATTGCTTGAATGCGTATATGTGGCGGCTCCGTCAAATAAATCCTCCCCCCTTGTTCTCTTCTAATTTGCTTAACAAATAAAAGTAGCGTATTGGACTTTGTCCAAGAATTCATAATTGGTGGGCAACTTGTTTTATCTCATCCTTCACATGTCTTCCATTAGACCCACTTCTCAAACCTGAACACTTGGCCTAATGAAATTAATTTCTCTAAGTCCTCTTACGAGAATTGCATGGCTTCATGGGCTATGTTGGATGTTTGAGTATGGGGTGCTGTCGGGTCAGTACGGGAAACCCCCATACTCTGCTGCAAAACTACTTTATCCTTCATCGTGCATGCACACATCTCCGTGCAATCATAAATAGTCCCAAAAATGCTGAAAATAGATAATAAAATATCAAAACACAGGAATTCATCCAAATAATAAATAAATCCAAAAAGAAAGATGTGCGAATAAATTAAGTGTATAGAAAAACACTATTAAATATATAAAACGTACACATTTTTCGACTTATCATTCGCTTAGGTTAGAAGTGGCCTTTGTGGCCTTGATAGGGAGCTTGCTGTAGTATCCTCTGTTGAGTCTCCTGGGTGTGCATGAGTGTTCCCAGGAAACTCTAGTTGTAACCCGTTGGTTATCCGGTTGTACATTTCTGAGTTTTATTTATGAAATTTGATGTTTGATAAAAATATATATATATATTAAAAAAAGACATTTGATTTGCTAGAAAATGACGGAATCATTACATTAAAACGCTTGACTACATTGTAGAATTTTCCGAAAACTTTTATTTCCTTTTTTCGAAAATAACTATCTTTTCAAATACTAAATATAAAAATAAAAGTATTATGATAGCCATCCATTTTCACCTCCCTTCAAACTAGACCCAGCCCCGCCCACTGGGTCGGCAAGCTTCAAATGCTTGGTCTGGAAACAGCCCAGCTACATCTAAGAGTCGGTTAAAAGGAAATAAAAATTAAAAATAAAAAGACGTGACCAAAGGCCGGGCCAGTTCACGACCCGGGTCGGCGTCTCAAATGCTAGGCCCAGAACTGGCCCGAATATATCTAAGAGCCGGTTCAAATGAACCGGCTATAAAAAAGTAAAAAACAACTACGGTTCGTCTTTCGACCCAGAACCGGTGGGCTAAAAAAGAAAAACTAAGACCCGGAATCGGCCCGATTTTATCACGGGTCGGTTCAAGGCCTTGCCATGTCTAATATACCCACCCGGTCAGTATCGATATTTTGTGACCTTTGATCAAAATACTTATCGTGTATGACATGTTAATCTCCTGACACATTAGTTAGTGAATATATTAAATCAAAAATAAAAATCCATTGCTTCTCACTACAAAAATAACTCTTACATTCCAACAGAAATTTTTCGTTGGAATTCTTTATATTTTCCGTTGGAATAGCTATTCCAACGGATATTCCTACGTATAAAAATTTGTGGGAAAAACGGCCGTCGGAATAGCTAAAATCCAACGGAAAATCCTACGGAAATAAATTCCTACAACTATTCAAACGGAAAAAATCCGTTGGTATTCGTCAACCATCCACCACTTATTCCAACATAAAATTAAGTTTGTTGGAATATTCATTGGAATTTCCAATGGAAATTTTTACCGTTAGAATTTTTCGTTGGAATTGAAGTGTATTCTTGTAGTGTCTATACATTATTATGATTTTTTTTTTTCTTTATAAATAACGAAATTGAAGTGTATTCTTGTAGTGTCTATACATTATTATGAATTTTTCTTTATAAATTAAAAAATATAATATATAAAATTGACTTAGTTCAAACTTCAAGTATAAACATGTGGTATGACAATATGACATACACATCACAATATAAGTTTTTTTTTTTTTAAAAAAAAAATAAAAAAATCTTCAAAAACAACACCCGGGAGGGTAACATCACAATATGAGTTTCTAGTGCTTTTTTTTTTGCTAATGAACCTTATAAAAGTACAAATATTGAGTTAAGCAAATATTGGCCAGATCCATGATGAAACAAGATAAAAGATTAAAAGTCACCGTTCTTGATAGTTAACTTTGAATTTTTTTATTATAAATGACAAAATAGAAGAAAAAGAAAGATAATATTTATGACTTTCTGTTTAATAGATTTGGAAATATATTTTTTTTTTTCTTCAACATTGTGTTTTTAAGGTTTTAAATTTTAATCTTTGGTTTTCTATCGTTTAGAGTGAGATTAAAGTACGGTCAACATGAAAATCATGGGCGATAACGCGTTATCATTAGGAAAGTACGCACGTATCGCTTATTCGTAAATATTTGAATTTTAATTTTAATGATGTAGCTCTAATTAGAAATTAAATTATTCATAAATTTTCCAGAAAAGCGTGCTTTCTTTCAAGACTATTTCCGAGTGAATTTTTCCATATCTTGTGGGGTAGAAAAGTTTTTGGGTCTTCCTAAGTTGTCTACAGAGTATTAGAACATTCAATCGTGAATTGGTTCACATCATTTATTTTTCATATTTTCGTGCGATTATCTGCGTGAGATCGTACCTGTTTTTTTTCTCCTTTTTGATACATGGTATCAGAACCGATTCTATTGAGACCGTGCAATGACGTACCCGTTTACCCAGTCTGTTTTTAGTAGGGCTTGGGCACCCGGCTCCCTATATGAGCTTGGGCTTATTATGAAGGACTCCACGTGTTAAATATTTACTTGTGAGTTGTCACAGATCGTTTATATATGGAAAATAGCACTACAAAAAAATTGTTATATTCCAACGGAAAATCCTATGGTAATATATTCCAATAGAAATTCCAACGGACATTCCAATGGTATAGCTGCCGTTGGAATTGTTCCAACGGAAGTTCCAACGGAATATGTGTTTTTCATTGGAATTTTAGATGGAATTTGGTGATTCCAACGACTATATTTCCAACAGCTTTTTACCGTAGGAATTTTCGTTGGAATATGCAATTTCCGTTGGAATTTTTATTTCCACCCCCGTTGGAAAATCCACCGTTGGAATCGTCAAAATCCAACGGATATTCCAATGGAAAACTCATTCCAACGGAATATTTCTGTTGGAATTTCCGTTGGAATCCATTGAACAATTCCAACGAAAATAATAGTATTGAAATATCCGTTGGAATTGTCGTTGGAATCATTCTATTATAATAAATTTCCGTTGGAATTTCATTATTTTCTTGTAGTGTATAGACATAATTTATAAGTCTAATGGCTACTCCTTCTTTCTACCAATTAGTTTTGGGATAAAACTTCACTTTGGCTTTATTTGAGTTTTTCCTGTTATGTTGATTTTATATGCGTGAGACCGCACTCGTTTCTCCCCCGTTTCTTACACAAAGCAAAAACAAATTCTCATAAATTTCCTTCATTCACTACAAGTCCACGAACACAATGCTAAATGTGGACTTTCACACACACTAGGCGTGTTTAGTTCATCACTCATTATCATGATTACTGCTACAAACTACTACAAATGACACATAAAATTCGAAAGAAAGCTCATTTTACTACATATACTTTGCTTGACTTCTATAGTTGACTTAAAAAAATTTCCATCTTTCATTTATTTATTTATTTATTTTGGTTAAGTTTTTTCTCCCAACATTATGATAAAAGGCATGAAATAAAGTGAAATTAATTAAATAGAATTGTAGAAAGTAGCTGCATGCTATATAATTTTAAAGATTTTATTTTATTTTATTTTATTTTATTTCTTTTTATTGGAGATTATGGACAATTTGAGGTACACTGGGACAATGTGCAATGTGTTTTTGCTTGGTCTGAGCTCTTTGTTAATCTCATGGGTTTCATGTGTAAAAGCTAATATTGTTACATATGATCACAAAGCAATAGTCATAAATGGGCAAAGAAAGATTCTTATTTCTGGCTCAATTCATTACCCAAGGAGCACACCTGAGGTAAATTTTATCCCAAAAAAATTTACTTACTATTTTACATATTTTTATTTTTATTTTTTTTAAATTTTTTAATTATTAAAATATATGTATATATTTAAACAGAGTTTAGGTATTTTTTGGTAATTTAATTTTATCTCTCTCACATTTTTTTATTTTTTTTTAACTTGTAGATGTGGCCAGATCTTATACAAAAGGCAAAAAATGGTGGGCTTGATGTAATTCAAACATATGTGTTTTGGAATGTTCATGAACCTGTGAAGAGACAGGTATTAATATTGTGAAATGCTACAGTCCCGTTACGGAACCATTCCGGCGGGATTTGTAACCGTCGTTGATAGTTGATCTAACAATTACAAACCGAGAGAATGATTCCGTAAAGGGATTGTAGAATCTCCCATTATGTCACATTGTTTTTTTTTTATTTAATGTAATAACATTTTTTTTTTTTTCTGTTTTATTGTAGTATAATTTTGAGGAAAGGTATGACTTAGTAAGGTTCATAAAGCTGGTGCATGAAGCAGGGTTATATGTTCACCTCAGGATTGGTCCATATGTGTGTGCAGAGTGGAATTTTGGGTAACACTACAAAAAATAAATATTAATTTGTCAATGGAAGAGCAAAAAAATAACAATTCTTGAAAGTTATTTATATAATTTATTGATTTATCTTTAATTATTTTATTTATTTTTTGGTCCTTATTGATTTGATAAACAGGGGTTTTCCAGTGTGGCTAAAGTATGTTCCTGGAATTAGCTTCAGGACAGATAATGAGCCATTTAAGGTTTTGACAGAAGCTAATGTTTTCTTTTTT